TGTCAGCTTCGCAAGCAGCGGCTTAACCTGCTGTGCCACAGTGCCCGCCCCATCTTTGTGGTTTTCAGCCGTTGAGTCTTGGGAGCAGTTTGTTACCACAGCACAACTAGTCTATATTTACAGATATAGCAGGTGTGTGTGCTAAGCACTGAGAACCTTTTCTTTTTTTTTAAGATTTATTTATTTACATTAAAAGAGTGACAGAGGGGACCGGCACTGTGGCGTAGGGAGTAAAGTTACCGCCTGCAGTGCTGGCATCCCATATGGGTGCCAGTTCAAGTCCCGGCTGCTCCACATCCGATCAGCTCTCTTCTGTGGCCTGGAAAAGCAGTGGAAGATGGCCCAAGCCCTTGGGCCCCTGGACCCACGTGGGAGACCCGGAAGGAGCTCCTGGCTCCTGGCTTCAGCCTGGCCCAATCCCGGCTGTTGCAGCCATTTGGGGAGTGAACCATTGGACAGAAGACCTCTCTCTCTCTGCCTCTCTGTAACTCTCTGCCTTTCAAATAAATAAATAAATTTTTTTTTTAAAGTTACAGAGGGAGAAACAGATAGAGAGCGAGCATCTGGTTCACTCCCCAGATGGCCACAGTGGAGCCAGGAACTTCATCTGGGCCATCTGCTGCTGCTTTCCCGGGTGCATCAGCAGGGAGCTGTATTGGAAGTGCAGCAGCTGGGACTCGAACTGGTGCTCATATGGGATGTTGGTGCTGCAGCCAGCTGCTTAACCCACTGTACCACAGTGCCAGCCAGAGCTATACCGGTCCAAAGTCAGGAGCCAGGAGCTTCTTCCAATTCTCCCACGCGGGTACAGGGGCCCAAGGACTTGGGCCATCTTGCACTGCTTTCCCAGGCCATTAGCAGAGAGCTGGATCAGAAGTGGAGCAGCCGGGACTTGAACCAGCACCCATATGGGATGTGGGCACTGCAGGCTGCGGCTTTACCCGCTATGCCATAGCGCCAGCATGGGAAATTTTCTTTTAATGCTGCTTTGGTTATTTCTTGTTTCTTCCTCTCTTGTCCATTGTCTTCTTTCTGGAACTGGGACTTTTGGATGTATGCTTCCTGTCACAACGTTGTTTTGGATGTTTTCTTGGAGAAATCATCAGTTTGATTTTGGAGCACATTTTGTTTGTTTGGTTTTTCAGTCTCACTTATTTGCTATTCTGCTAAACCCTTATTTGAGATCATAGGTTTGTATTTGTTTCCAACGACGTCTATTTGCTTCTTTTCCAGAATGGATTGTGGCTCCATAGGTACAGAATTCTGTGTATTCTTTCTAGGACTATAAAAGTTATTTTTCAAGCCTTCCGATTGTTACCTTTCCCTCCCTTGTTACTTGCTGACTGGCTGACTCTTGCTGTTCTGCCACTCTTTGTGTTTGGAATTCCTACTCCTCTGATTACTGATTTGGTGTCAACAGGGCGTTTCTTCTGATTTTTGGAGAAGAGATGGTTTACCTTATTAGGTTCTGTTTGCTTGTGGTTTGCCTGGATATGGGAAGTGCTCGTTAGCTCCCCTGGGCACTGCCTTGCAAGTCTGCCCTCTGTACACTTGCTGCCCCAGCAGGAGGGGAGCGCGGACCAGCAGCCCAGAGCCTCTGCAAGCATTCATGGTTCCCTGAAAACTGCCCCTCAGACCTCCTCTCTCTCCTTGGAGCCACTGGGCCTGAGCTTGGAGCGGCCTCCGTTACTGGGCCTCATTCCCAGTGGTCCACTGCTGCTGGCATTAAAAAAAAAAATCATTTATTTGAAAGGCAGAGGCAGAGACAGAGGGAGTCAGACAGACCTCTCATTCACTGGTTCACTCCCTAAATGCCCACAACAGATGGGGCTGGGCCAGGCTGAAGCCAGGAGCCAGGAACTTCACCCAGGCCTCCCACGTGGGAGAGAGAGGGCCAAGCACTTGAGCTATCCTCCGCTGTCTTCCCCAAGGCACATTCGCAGGAAGCACAATAGCTAAACATCTGGGATGTTTTTGTCATTAGCAGCAACTTAACCTGATGTGCCACACTTCCCAAGTAAGCTTATTTTCGTGCAAATTTTTATGATAAGCATTTTCTATGTCTTATGAACAAAATTAGAAAAAAAATTATTTGGAAGGCAGAAAGACAAATCTTCCATCTGGTTTACTCACCAGTTGCTCACAATAGCCCGCGCTGGGCTGAAGCCAGGAGCCCAGAATTCAATCTGGGTCTTCCACATGGATGCCAGGAACCCAGCACTTGAGGTACACCCTCCTGCCTCCAGTGCACCAGCAGGAAGTTGGATCTGAAGCTGCGAGGTGGGAACTTGGACCAGGCACTTTGATATTGGGGAACTGACCAGCGGCAAATGCCTGCTTCTAATTTTTTAAATTAATATATAGATACCATTAATTCCTGTTTATTTTGGAAATTAGAAAAGATAGATAATCATAAAGAGGAAAACAGGAGTCACTCCACCCGAGTGGCCTGGTTTCCCCACTATCTGGTGACAGTTCCACTCTGAAGGATTATAATTTTTCCAAGAGAGGCAAGTCCTTTTACCCTTCTTGAAATCAAATGACACATCCTGAAGGCACGCCGACACCAACCTCAGTGATGGGGTATGAAGAGCCCAGGGAAACGGGCCAAACTGACAGCACAGTCCGTGACCGAACACGGCACATCCCCAGAAGCAGTTTCCCGAATGGCCGGGCAGACACTGCACTCCCCAGGACACTGGGCAGTTCTGGGCGCCATCGAGTGGCCAGCAAGGAAGCAGAGGCTTTTCTCTGCAGCGGAGCCTGGGCAGCTAACGGCTGCAGGACAGTCGCGGTGAGCTGTGTCTCGAGGGCACGAGAATCTTGAGCCCCACAGGACGTATCATCCTGGCTTCCAGATATCACCCGTGGGAGGAGAAGTCTGGATCCCAGACTATCTCTTCTGCAGACAGGTGCCCAGCTGTTAATGTTGCTGTGAAGCTGGGGGCCTGCTTGTTCTCTCAGCCCTTCGGTCCAGGGATAGCTCGTGTTACAGAAAGAGGAAAAAAGTCTCACGGGACCAGCGATAGAGGGCTCCCTTATCTGAGTAACTGTTGTCGTCCAGGCTGCTCTGCTTCTGATCTGGCTGCCTGCTAATGCACCTGGGGAGGAAGCGGAAGCTGGTGCAGGCACTTGGGCCCCTGCCATACACAAAGGAGACCTGGATGGAGTTCCAGGCTCCTGGCTTCATCCCGGCCCAGCCCTGGCTTTTGTGGCCATTTGAGAAGTGAACCAGTAGATGGAAGATCTCCCTGTCTGTCTCTCCTTCTCTTCAAACAAATCTCTTAAAAAACATAAAGTTCAAAATGGAGTTAGTGCTGCCAAAGTACAGTCTTGTTAATCATAATTGAAATGCCAACTTAATCGACTCACAGAAATCGGAACACAGCACAGCACCAATCCCATTTTGCTGCACTTTGTGACACACACAAAGACATGGACCTTTACAAATCAGCATCAACTTACTGATACCCTTTTTTCTCCACCCAGCACTCCGTCAAGGACATCCTCCTATGTCAGTACAATCAACTCAACATACAGTGCTGGGGCTCTCACATTCAGCGGAGTCCCTCTTGGTAGGGACTAGTGTTCACTGCCACAAATGATGCTACACTCCACTTGTACACAGCTCCTTGAACGAACTTCTAGAAGTGGAACTGCTGCATCAAATGTGGCCTCGCAGAAAAGCCGCTGCCAAGACTGCACTGGTTCGAGTCCCGGCTGCTCCACTTACCATCCAGCTCTCCGCTAATGTCCTGGGAAAAGCAGTGGAAGATGGCCCAAGTGCTCCAGCCCCTGCCACTCACGTGGGAGACCGGGAAGAAGCTCCTGGCTTTGGCCTGGCCCAGGGCTGGCCATTGCAGCCATCTGGAGAGTGAACCAGCAGAGGGAAGATCTCTCTCTCTCTCTCTCTCTCTCGGGTTCTCTGTAACTCTTTCAGTATAAATAAAAGCATCTTTAAATGTTGGTTGGGCATGGAAGAGCTTACCAAGGAGAAGCTAACTCCAAGGTGGACTTCAGACATCTGTAGCTGGTGTCGGGGCGTGGTGCTTTGGGCCAGGGGGAAACCTGGACTCACCCCAGGAAGCTGGGCATCCGGCCCACCCCTCCTGGCACACACACGGCCCGGCCAGCACGGCCATCTCGTCCCTGTCACTCTGCTCGCCCTCCCTCGGCTGCAGGGCACCCGGCCCTGGGGAGGCACGAGGGGGCCAGGGTGGATGCGTCGCGCCCCGGGAACCTGGCCAGGTTTCTGGCAGTGTGGGCTCTTAGGCGGAATCAGGAAGGTCCGGGCGGGGTTGAGCGGGTAGCAACCTGCGGACCCCTGGGCCGGTGCCACCCCCACCCTCTCCGCCCCCCGTACGTGGGTCTGGCTCCCACTCGGTGCCCGGCAGCTCGCCCAGCTCGGTGCTCCACAGGCGCGGCGACCCCTGCCCAGGGGAATTTCCGCTTGCGGAACGGTCCCGAGCGGCGAGGGCGCCGGCCGGGCTGCGCGCGGCCCGCGCCAGGCCACAGAGGCTCGGCCAGAGGCGCTCGCGATCTCGATCTCTCAGGAGGAAAATCCCCGCGCTGTGCGGCGACCCCCGTCTCCCTTCTCGTCCGCACGACGGCCACGGCCGACCCAGTTCCGGGCCCCCACCCCCACCCACCACGTGGAGCGCGCGCCCCGCCCGCGGCCGGGCCGGGGGACAGTCCCCGAGCGCGGGGCGGGCCGGGGGCGGGACCTGCGGGCCCCGCTCGGCCCACGCCTCTCTAGGACACAGCCCCGTGTGGGGCGCAGCCCTGCCTCCGCGCCCCTCATTCCCGGGGCTGCGCGTCGGAAAGGGAGTGAAAAGGGGGCGGGGCCTGGGCGGGGCCTTGGTTCCTGTTTTTTTTTTTTGTCTGGCTAGAAATGGAAAGGTTCCCCTGCGCCTTTAAGAGGCCGACGCGGGCAGCCGATTGGCCGAGACGCGCCGGTGACGTCACGCCGGGGCCGGCGCCGAGGCGGCCCGGTCGGCCCGTACCCTCCCCCTCCCGCCCCGCCGCGCGCTCGCGGACAGTCGGCGCGCGGGCCGGGCCGGCGGCCCTCAGCTTTGGTCCTCCGCGTCGCCCAGGGCCCCGGGGGATGCCCCCGGCCGGGTCCCCCTCATGGCCGCAGACGTCTTCATGTACTCGCCGCGCCGGCCCCGCAGCCGGGTGCGCTCGGTACTGCTCAAGCCCCAAGTGCCCGAGGACGACGACGACTCGGACACGGATGAGCCGTCCCCTCCGCCCGCGTCCGGCGCGGCCACCCCGGCCCGGGCCCACGCGAGCGCTGCGCCGCCGCCGTCCCGGGCCGGGTCGGGCCGCGAGGAGCCCCCGCGCCGCCAGCAGATCATCCACAGCGGCCACTTCATGGTGTCGTCGCCGCACCGCGAGCACCCGCCCAAGAAGGGCTACGATTTCGACACGGTCAACAAGCAGACGTGCCAGACCTACAGCTTCGGCAAGACCAGCTCCTGCCACCTGTCCATCGACGCCTCCCTCACCAAGCTCTTCGAGTGCATGACCCTGGCCTACAGGTAGGACCCGGGAGGCCGCGGTCGAGCCCCGCCTGGCCGGGGCGGGGGGGGGGGCTGCCTCTGACGGAGGGGACCTCCGGGTCCGCGCACCCCCTCTGGGTTTCACCCCTTCGGGAGGGCTTCTGGCTCTGGGGGCCCCGCCGTCGCGAGGGGCCCCGGCGTGCTGGCCTCGTCCCTGGTCGCCAGTGCGGATCTTCCGGCTTCAAGCGCCCCATCCTGGCCCTCCCCTCCGCCGCCCCAGGCCGGCGAGCTTGGACGTGAACGAGGCGTGGGTCCGGGCCGCACCTTCTGTTACCTGGCCCTGGCTTTGTGTGCTCCGGGCTGTGCCCAGCCGCGGCGAAGACCACCTGTCCGGGGAGGCTGGGGCGCTGGCTCGCCCCCTATTCGGGCTGCGGTGGTGGGGGTAGAGCGAGTTGGGTGAAGTGCTGACAGCCTGCCGTGGCGCTACCTTTCCTATTGTCCCTGGGCCGGGAAGCCGGGCCGGACCGTCCTGCCGGCAGGCCCTCCCCCATCTTGGAAGGGCCCTGGGTGCCTCCCAGGAAGACTTCTGGAGCCACAGCTGTCGGAGCCGCAGCCTGCCCTCCTGGCGAGTTGCAGGGTTTTCTGGCTGAAACACTAGATGAGGGGGCAGGCTGCGTGCAGGGCGGACACCCCAGACTGCCCGCGGACTCTGGGTGCTCTGGGTGCTGTCTCGGAGGTGCCCGGCTCTGTCTTCCCCGGCGTGTGGCGAGGTAATGGATCCAGGCGCTTTTCTTGCTGGCAGCAGAACTTCTGGGAGCCGCCGCCGTGGTGGGGTCGCTGCGGCCTGGCTCCTTTGCCTTAGTCACTGCCCCGGGGCAGGGGCGTCTTCGGTCTGCTTGGGCTCACAGGACGGGCTTCCTAGGGGACTCCAGAGAGAGTGAGGAGAGGGGGTTGTGCCCGCTCCTTTTTTGGAGGAGTGAGCTCTGGCAGGATGCCGTTACCTGAGTGGCATTTCCCCCTCTGATGAGCAGGTTCCTTTGTTAGTTCCTGACGTGCACCCCAGTCCCATTTCCCTGGTGATTTCTTCCCATAGTGCTTCCTCCCATCCCCGTTTGGGGCACGCTGGTCAGTCAGTCTCCGATTCTCTGGTTTTACCAGTTTCAGCTGGCACTGGGCTGGTGAAGATATTAAAAAAATAATAATAATAAAGTGGTCCTGAGGTTGCAGCCCTGTGCACCCCCAGCCCAGCCACCAGGGCATATGCTGGGCTCTGAGAGCCTTTAAACATAGCCAGAGGTGAGGGACTGGAATGTGCTTTATTAAGATAACTTAATCCTCTTTTTTCTTTAATATAAACTTCCACACGGACAGGGGACAGGGCGAGAGTGGATGAGTGAGTCACAGGAGGCAGGGACTGGGAAGGCCTCGCCTCGGGGAGCTCTGCCGGAGGAGAAATAAACCAGTCTCCCCTGGGCCTTCTGGTGGGATAATCTAAAGCCTTATAAATAGCACCAGAGAATTTTAGTAATGGCTTTTTTTTCCCATTTCTTTCAAAAATATTTGGCAGCTGGCCATTGCTCAATTAATTTTCTTAATTGCAAAATGCGCCATTAGTTTGGTACAGGACGCTTACCTGGCTCCTAGGGCTCCTCTCCAGGCTCACGCTCCCCCTTTTCCTGATGTTCCCGGTGCCTGCGCTGGGCTGCCGCCTGAGCTCTCCCGTGGAAGGAAGGGCCCCAGGTGGGATTTGCTGGTCGATTTCCCCTGAAGATGCTTTTTGTCTCCGCGTGAGGCTGGCTTGGCAGGCCCTGGATTTGGTTGGCAGTATGGAATTTTGGTACAGATGGACACAGAATGACTCAAAACCAGTTGTCTGGGCTGCAGCCTTTGGCCCTGCAGGAAGCTGGAGAAAAGTGAATTTCTGACCTCAGCTCTCCCACCACGACCGATCGCCAGAGCCGGGGCTGGGCGGGGGAAGACTCAGCCGTCTCAGCCAGTTGGAGTGTTTGTGGTGCTTTGCAGGGTTCTCCCCCTGCCCGGGCTGAGAGGAAGGCCAGCTGGGTCTCCTCTGTGAGTGTTTCTGGCCACTTCCTGTCTGTCGCCTGGCCTGTTCCTTCTAGCTGCCTAACTCTCCCTGGTACACTCTGTGCTTTTCTTTTTCTTTTGGTTTGGTTTCCTGTTAACTGCTGCCTCCCAGCTGTTTCCAGATGAGGTTCAACAGCTCTTTGGGGAGAAACTAAGTGCAGGGAAGTTGGGGTTATTTTTTCCCGTCTGCAAGGTGGTCCAGGATTCTGAACACGATGTGTTCCTGCCCAGGACTGTTGAGGGCCTGACTGTGTGAGTGTGCCCAGGGGCCTGCCTCGTGAGCGACTGGGCAGAGGGGCTTCCCATCCTGTGATGCCAAGTAGCCCTGTGGCAAGACGTCTTGATGATGGGACCTCTGGGAGCGGAGGAGGTGACAGGGCACAAGCCTGCCTGTCTGCGCCCCGGGAGGAGGGAGTGGGCTTACCCGAGATGACGGGAGTGTGTCTGGCACAGGAGGAGGGCTCCCGCTTGAGCCTGCAGGTGGGTTCCGTGAACCGAAGGAAACAGCGCAGCTCTCAGTGCCTGTGTGACAAGTCCCACACAGAAGCTTTGTTGATTAGGCAGGTCCTTTCTAAAGCCCACAATGGAGCTATGTACTCCAGAACATAGTTCATGGTGCTTGCCCTCTTAACATTTTAAGGAATGTCACACATGTGCATCCCCCACACAGACTCTGAACACATCTAGTGTGTAGCTTTTTTTTTTTTTTTAATATTTATGTGCTTTACTTATTTGAAAGGCAGAGAGAGAGACTGAGATCAAGATCTCCCATCCACTGGTTCACTTCCCAGATGCATGCAACAGCCAGGACTGGGCTGAAACAGGGAGCCAGGAACATAACCTGATTCTCCCCTCTGGGTGGCAGGGACCTAACCACTTGAGTCATCCAGCTGCTTCCCAGGGTAGGCATTAGCACCAGGCTGGAATCCAGAGCGAACCCAGGCATTCTGACCCGGGAAGTGTATCCCACTGGGTGCCTTAACAGCTTCATCACTTCCTGCTCCAAACGCCTGCCTCTGGTGTGTAGCTTTTTGTGGTTGATTTGAGTTTCACTTCTCTGCTTTTTAAAGTAGCTCCTTATCAGGGAGACTTGTGGTGAGTGCCTCTGTGGGTGAGAGATGGTCCTTTAGTGGGTATTTGAGAAGACGTTTTAAAATAGGAGCTATAGAGGTTGGCACTGTGGCGTAGGGGGTAAAGCCGTCACCTTCAGGGTTGGCATCACATATGGGTGCTGGTCCGAATCCCGGCTGCTCCACTTCCCATCCAGCTCTCTGCTATGGCCTGGGAAAGCAGTAGAAGATGGCCCAAGTCCTTGGGTCCCTGCACCTGCCTCTGCCTCTCTGTAACTCTGCCTGTCAAATTATATATATATATATATATACACACACATATATATATATATATATAATTTGAAAGGCAGAGTGGACAGTGAGAGAGAGAGACAGAGAGAAAGGTCTTCCTTTGCTGTTGGTTCACCCTCCAATGGCCTCCGCGGCCGGCGCACCGTGCTGATCCGATGGCAGGAGCCAGGTGCTTCTCCTGGTCTCCCATGGGGTGCAGGACCCAAGTACTTGGGCCATCCTCCACTGCACTCCCGGGCCACAGCAGAGAGCTGGCCTGGAAGAGGGGCAATGGGGACAGAATCTGGCGCCCCGACCGGGACTAGAACCCGGTGTGCCGGCGCCGCAAGGCGGAGGATTAGCCTAGTGAGCCGTGGCGCCGTTTTAAATAAATAAATCTTAAAAAAAAAAAAAAAAAAAAAAAAGTAGGAGCTATAAGATAGCCTTGGTATATCAGTGTATAGGATATGGCCACTAAACATATGCCCTGTAGAGTAACCCTTTCATGACTCCATGGGAGTCTGTCCCAGGCTCTTGGATTAGCGAGCACTAGGGGTTTAGCGCTGTCATTTATTGTGTCCTGTGAATTTAAAGTTTTCAACAGAGGCACCTTCAGGCTAGGCACTGTGATTAGTTGTAAGTGAAAGCCATTCGCACCAATGACTAAATTGGTTTTATTCTTTTATATCCACACTGATGATAAGAGTTTTCTTCTCGTGGTGTGCTATTAAAGGGTGTGCCGGAGGTGGGGCCCCAGAGGTGAAAAGGAAGTCTGTCTCCTGCTGGAGCTCACACACTGGGGTGGGGGAGGGGGACAGGTGCACAGACAGTTCTAGGCCTGAGTCAGGGCTGTGGTGGGGAGCAGCCCCAGGTCTGTGGCAGGATTGAAGGTTGTGTCTGCAGTAGACAGGGTGTGTGGTGTTGACACAGTACCTGTATGGGCCGCTTCCCTGACATCAGGATCCAATGTTAACCATCAGGAACTATGGATCCCAGTTCCCAGTAGGAAACCTCAGTGTTCTTTTTATTCTCTTAACACACTTGTGTTCTTTTTAGATTTATTTTATTTGAAATGTGGGAAAACAGAAAGATCTTCCATCCTCTAGTTCACTCCCCAAATGCCGACACACCCTGGATTGGGCCAGGCAGAAGCCAGGAGCCCAGAACTCAGCTTGGATCTCCCAGTGTGTCAGGGACCAAGGTACTTGAGCCATCATCTGCTTCCCAAGTGGTATGTATCAGTGGGAAGCTGGATCAGAAGTGGAGTAACCAGGACTCAAGCTAGGCACTCCCATGTGCAGTGGAGGTGTTTGAAGTGGCAACTTTTTAACTCTCTCTCTCTTTTTTTTTTTTTTTTTAAGATTTATTTAAATCTTAAAAGGCAGAACAACAGAAAGAGAGCCAGAGATAAATAGAGAGATCTTCCATTTGCTGGTTCACTCCCCAAGTGGCCACAACAGTCGGGAGTGGGCCAGGATGAAGCCAGCAGGCAGGAGCTTCATCCAGATCTCCCACGTGGATGCAGGGGCCCAGGCATTTGGGCCATCTTCTGTTACCTTCCCAAGTGCGTTAACAGGGAGATGGACTCGAAGTGGAGCAGCCAGGTCTTGAACC